ACCCCCCCCCCCGGGTGGTGCCTGGGCCCTTGGCCAGCGCGGGGAGCAGCAGGCGGGTTTGGGGCCCCGGGCGCTGGAGGGGGCAGTTGCCTGTGGGGGAGGCTGTGGCAGCACCCCCGCGGGCCACCTTAAGCGGCTGTGTTGGTGCTGCTGGGTGGGAGACTGCCATCGAGCACATGGGGCTGTTAGAGCAGCCAGCCTGGCCTTGGGAAAGGGGAGCCCAGCTCAACAGGGTGCAGGCCAGGGGCTCAGGTGGGGGGGGGTGCAGGAGGGGTGCGGGCTCCGACCCGGCGCCACTTACCCGCAGCCACACTCCCTGCCTGCCAGGGCCCCATGCCGCGCCGCTCACCACGTCCCCGTGCAGCCCCGGGGAGGGGAGGGGCGGCACAGGGCTCTGCACGCTGCCCTTGCCAGGCCTCCAGGTACCTCCCCTGAAGTTCCCATTGGCCGCGGTTCCCCGTTCCCGGCCAATCGGAGCTTTGGGAGGCGATGCCTGGAGCAACCCCCCTGGCCCCAGAGACATGGTGCCCTGATGGCTGCTTCTGAAAGCAGCACGGGGCCTGCAGCACCACGGGGGGCAAATCCCACGGGCCGGATCCAAAGCCCTGAGGGGCCAGATCCGGATCTGACCCATGGGCATTAGGGTGTGCCCGGGCACACCCCGTGCACACACCTATGCTGTGCAACTGTTTACCTGCTTACTCAATCTCCTTTCCCCTCACTCATTCGCTCATTATGTAAAGCCATGGAATTTTTTTATTCCATGCTTTTCATGTTAGCTGTGAAACTAACACTCCTTTCCATTTTTACTGACTTCAGCCACTTAATCTAGGAAAGGACATTGCCTAATCTTCAAAAGACACTCGGACAATTGAAGAAAATAGGGCCTTTGTACATTTTTTGATCAGAGTAACAAATGCTCTCCCTCCCCCAAACTAAAATAGCTACTTGAAATTACCGCCTTGTTCTAGTGCAGTGGCTCCCAAACTTGTTCCACCGCTTGTGCAGGGAAAGCCTCTGGCGGGCCGGGCCGATTTGTTTACCTGCTGCGTACGCAGGCTCCTGCAGGCCAAGGTTCGCTGCTCCAGGCCAATGGGAGCTGCTGGAAGCAGCGCGGGCCAAGGGACGTACTGGCCGCCACTTCCAGCGGCTCCCATTGGCCTGGAGCAGCAAACCGCAGCCAGCGGGAGCCGTGATCGGCCGAACCTGTGGATGCGGCAGGTAAACAAACCAGCCCGGCCCACCAGGGGCTTTCCCTCCACAAGCGGTGGAACAAGTTTGGGAACCACTGCTCTAGTGTATGTATACAGGAAATGGACTTGCACCTGTTGCTCTTTGAGTTCTGATGCCTCTGTACATTCAGCTGCCCACATATTTTTCTGTATTACTGGCCGTGCCAGTAGGCTGCAATATTGGGCTCTTCTCTGCAGTGAATCAGGGCCCCTGCTCTGTCTGGAAGCTCCTCAGATGAAAAAGACTATATGAGTGCTAAGTAGAATGATTAATATTTTTAAGTGCATAGGAACAAAGGAACAGCCCAGTTGTCCCAAACTAAATCCTTGATCCAGCCATGCCTGTGTCCTGTCTCCAACATCTGACATTTCAGAGGCATGCAAAACGCCCCCTCCCTAACTCCATCCAGCCATGTGTGCAATACTGGATATGGTGTGTGTCTGTGCAGAAGGATAACCCCTAGAGAGGACCATTGTATGCTTTGAAGCATGTAGTTTAATTACTTGTATTGTTACCTTTAATAGCAGAACTCCAAAGTGGCATTAATGGTGGTAAAATTACCCAGTTCTTTTAACACACAGCTCTAAAAGCAAGGGCGCTGGCACTAAGCTGGCATAGTTCCACTGAAGCCAATGAAGATGTGCCAGTCTACAACAGCTGAGCACCTGGCCGCTGTCTGCGACTGCAGTCATTTCCCTCATGAGTTTCACCCCAGTTTACAGCAATGTTTCCCACTTTGGCTCTTGACAAGCTTCTCTATGATTGCGGGCTGCACATTTACGAGCATATTCTAGGTTTGATCTCCTCTTAGGCTATGTGGCACAAGGGGGGACACAGAGTGACTGGGATGGGCTTAACTTTCCTATTTTGACTTGATCCGTATCTAAAAAGCTGTGTGTAGCCCTGTAGCTGGGCATTCCTCCCCCCCGCCCCAATAATGCTGGGGGGAGTCTGAGTAATGACCACGGGCAAGATGAGGCTTTTGGCAGGAGGCGCCAGCCTGTTGCTGGTTCAGGAAAGAAAAGAAAGAGGCTTTTAAAAATGATGAAACACAGTGGCAACATTTAGAGATGGGGTCGGGGGGG